CTTTTCAGCTTGAACACAAAATTGCTTGAAATTAACTGGTCTTTCTTAACCATTCAACAACCTTTTTAATACGATTGATTTAGAAGGCAAAGAAAGCTAAAACAGCTGCTAATCAACAATACAGCAATTAGTACAAGAAACAGATGTCTCAAGAATTTTGCACATGCATCAAATACTCTGTAAGTGAGTTCCTACCACCCCATTATTAATGTTGTTACCTGGAAATTAACTACACTGTGTTTCTCAAGAGGAACTGATCTCTTACTTTCTACTGGGCTTAAAAAGATAATTATATTTATGACCTAAGATTCCTTTGTCAGCTCCTCTTTTTAAGATGATTTTGAAGGTTCAACATCAGTTGGCAAAAAAAATCTAAAAACTCTTCTACTGAAAAGAATTAAGTCTGCTTTCCTTTTTTCCAGTGTTTCAGTTTTATTTACTACTTTTGTTATTTCCTGATTGTAATGTTTCTATTGATAATGAGAATTTTTAATTAAATTTTGTTGGAGTGACCCACTTAGAAATTTGCTTGTGTGAGTTGAGTCTCATCCTGTGCCCTTGGAAAGTTTGAAACTGCTTGCCACATTATTTCTTTAATTGTACTCAAATCATGACCACAACCAGTACAATTTGCATCCAAAAATACACATGACTTGCTGTTGAAACACATTTTATCATCTTACACTTCCAGTGAGTGTCAAAGAAGGCTGGTTTCCTTGCCTGTTTTGCTTAGGTTGTTTTTTCTGTTTTTTTCCTCTTTTTTTTTTGTTTTTTTTTTTAAAAAAAAAATCTTTGCACTTAATTTTCTTAAAGCGTTCTTGTAGCTGATGTTTACATTTTATCTTTAGGACATCAAATGCAGTCTTAATAAAATAATTTTAATCTCATTTTGAAGAATAAAATTTTCCCTTTTTAAGAATCAAGCCAAGGAACCGAGAAATCAATTTATCATGATTTATATACAGTGATGAAGACTCTAGTACAACTGAAGCCCTGAAACTCACATACTGTTTCATTTGAATTGATTTTCGGACCACAGAGGTTCATTGCAACTTCGAATTAACACAAGCAATTGCATCATTTTATTTTTTACACATTCACCCTCATTTGCATTCAAAAACATGTTTACAAACTACAGCAACAAATAGTTTACCCATTATATCAAGCATTCGATCATTCAAGAAGTCAGGGAAGCTCAATAGTTTTTATCAGTTAATATTTAAAACTTAATAGTGATGAGTATAATCCAAACTTATTTTGATGAATTTGTTGTTTCATACGGGAAAATACCTTCATAGATTGATGTTTCCCTCCAAAAATGTTTCCATTTAAATCCTCCGTTTTCCAGATGAAGCGAAGACTGCTTTTCACCAAAACCGTCTCGTTTCTGTTCGAATCGTCGTTTGCATTTAAGACCGCCAGAAGGCGGCCATATTGTTTAACAGTGATTTCCAAAGTCAGTTTTATCCCCATTTCCAATAAAGTTGGTGGTGTAACTAAACTAAAGCTCTCCATGTAGGTCCAAAATGCATACAGACTGTTTTTGGCGGGAAAACCGCGCTAGCCGTTAACACAATAGAATTAAAACGAGGGCAAAGAAAAGGGAAATGGGAAAGTCAGCAGTTTTTCAATTTTTCACTCAATAATGGGCTAAATTATGATGACAAAAAGTTGTTACTTTGCAAACGTTGTTGGCCATGAAGAGTAGAGGCTTAACGAAAATATATCTTCTTGGTATTTCTTTGGAAAGTTGAATTCAAATTCATCGTTAAAGTCAAGTAAAACGTTGCTTGTTCGGGAGCTGATAAATCTGGTGAGTAAAAAAATGATCGATTCGGTTCTGATCGTTTCGTTGTCAATGTCATGAATAAGTCATTTATTAGGGACCGGTAGTTATTGTTCTTGCTTTGTAAACAAGCTTAACAGCCCTTCGTGCTGAATTTAAAACATTAAGCAGAATACAAAACAATAGCGTAGCTGACAAGATAGCTGCACGAGGGTTTTTTCGACCGCGGGAAAGTGTGACGCCTTGAGTAACGCCGGCCGGCGAGAGGAACTGCCATCTCTCGGTTTCCCGCGCTTCGAATGGCTTTTTGGATTAGCCAATAGAATCCCAGGTTTTCCGAGTTATTCTCAGCCAGTCAGACAAAAGTCTCCTTTGTTGCCGAGGGGTCTACCATGGGTCTAGCACAGATAATGATAGAGGCATTACTGATGCCAGACCCACAGCAAACCTCTCACTGACTCGTCTCAATCTTCCCAGGGGCGGAGAAACGCGCGTCTTGCAGCACTTATCATGCTACTAACAAAACCATCGTCGCTCGTTTGTATTCAGTCATTATCGTGATGATCTAACAGATAAAACGCCAACAATTAGTATAGCAAAACACTACCGTGTTTATTGACATATTCAGGTTTACCTCACTCTTTTTTGCATACAAAACTAGGATAAAGTTTTAAGCCTGGTTACAAACCACTCTTTTATTTAAGTTACCTTGCATTTTTCAAAATATCTCTGGCTATGTACAACTGAGAAGACCTTAACCCTGTTGCTCTACAACAGCTTTTGTAAATAAATACGTTTTCACTCTTTAAGCAAGGATATCAAACTACGTACATGTATGTAAAACTTTGTTTGAAACTGGAAAGGACGTATGAACGTATGATTTCTAATGTAAAAAAAAAAAACTTCAAAACACTGAAGCAACTTTAAACTAGAAAAGACAAAGGAAAATAAATCCGAAAAAGTTCACACTGCGCCTGAAGTTCAAACTATTTCACATTAAGATTCGTTTAAAGGCAATAAGTTATTTATTTTATAAATAAGCAATAATTCAATCCCACACACTCCAAACTTAAATTCTTCCAAAAAAGCAAAACAAAGAGAAGCCATTTAAAGCGATATAAATGATCCGTCACTCATCACTAGTCATCTAATTGGCAAAGCAGTGCCACGCCCCTGTTGACCCAGTGCCTCTCGGGTTTGTTTGACGGCAAGTCCACGTACATAACAAAGTTTGTCGAGTGACCAGTGGTGGACAAAGTACCCCGGCGAGCGCTTGTCTTGTACACTGGGCTGGAGTAGGTTGCTTTAGGTTTGAAAGTAGATTTTTCACCAGGGATAATCCACATCTACACGAAGAGTGGTTAAGAAAAATAAGAAAGGGAAAGGATTCCTTAAACATCGGGTGAATATAGTCATAAATAGTGACCACCAGTCAGTAAGTCACTCAGTTAGTCGGTGTGACAGACAATAAATATGTCAAACAGACAGTCAGTCAGCTTGTAAGTCTACCATTCAGTCGGTCATTCAGAGAAACAGACAGACAAACCGTCAGTCAATAAGAAATTCTGCCACTCAGTCGGTCAGTAAGTGGCAGGCAGACAGGCAGACTACCGAACAGACAGACAGACAGGCTGTCACACAGAGTCACTAAGTCAGTAAATAGGTCGGTCAGTCAGCCAGTCTTTTTCTTCGGGTTTTTCTTTGGTCGATTGACTATATGTTCATTAGATAGTAAGTCAGTCGGTTGATAGGTCTCTTTTATGATCCTTTCTAAGACACTCACTACAATTACACATGATTTGTTAAAGGATACCACAGGTAAAGTATCAAATAAGATTTTTGGCTGAGATTCAGACACAACCATTTCCTCTCTATCCCAGCGGGCTCCTTCTAAAAACAGGCCCTGAAAACAACAAAAAGAAAATGCACGAAATAAAGCAACCAATAAACAAGAACGAAAAAGGAAAAAAATAACATAACGAAAAAAAATTTTTTAGACGAAACAGTTCACTCTAGTAATAAAGAAAATGGTCACCCTCTTGATTGTTGAACAACTCTCCTTGTCAGCACCTTAGGGAATATTTGGTGGACAGTATGGAGAATATGCATACTGATGCTGGGGTATAAAGAGCTAAACCGAAATTAAGGAAAGGTTCGATAAATACCCTTGAAAAGATCAATCCTGAAGCAAAACATGCGATCAAATCCCACTGCTTTTGGTTTTCCTGAAATTTGTTTCATTTAACATAAAATAGTTTCAGCCACAAGTGCATAGCACGATACTTACGTATACATAGACTCCATCTTCTGGTTTTTTTTCCATTTCTCTTTCGCTCTTAGTTACTTCAAACTGGAAACCCACGTGATCAATAGGAATGGTGTACTTACGAGCAAAGTTTTGGCGGGCGCCTGTGAAAACAAAATGAACCGCTGATCAGCAATTAAAACATAAACATAGCATACGATTAATGAGTGACTTGGCTAACTGGGACATAAATTTATCAATTTTGATTTACTCCTCCACTTATAAGGTATGATAGACAAAAAGTGTTGTGTCTTGACTCGGAGTCCAGTGCACCACACCCTGGGCCAATGTAACTGACACGACAAGAGAGACAAATTAATTCACAAAGAGCTTCACCTGTCAAGAACGATTGAGTGAAGTAAAATCCAGAGACCCAGAACACATTAGGCACGCCGTGGTCGATCCAGTCTTGGAAGAATGTTAATCTACGGACCAAAAATATTTTTCAAATTAATTTTTTCTGGGTTTTGTCTTTTCTCAACATTTATGACTATCATACACTATCGAGTGGGTGAGTGAGCCAGATGGTGAGCTGTCAGTCAGTCGGTCGAACAGTGAGTTAGTCAGTCAGTCAGTCAGTCAATTAGTAAGTGAGTCATTCAGTCAACTAGTCAGTGAGTGAGTCGGAGTTAGTCAGTCAGTCAGTCAGTCAGTCAGTCAGACACACAATCTGTCAGTGAGTCGATGAGCCAGTGAGTGAGTAAGTCAGTCAGACAGTAAGTCAGTCACTCAGTCAAACAGTCAATCTGTGAGTGAGTGAGTCAGTCAGTCAACCAACTTATCGTCATTCCTCACCTTTCCAACAGATCAGTTACATAGCTTCCGAGAGGTTTCAGAGACGGATAGGATTTAGCAGACCATACAGCCGGGACTTTGCCGACCAACATATTGTTAAACACATCTTCAAGATCACCAGACATAACAACCAGACCCTAAAGTACAAACGAAGCAGAAAAAAATTCATTAAGTTTAATTTCTAAGTATATAGGTTTAAATAAAATTGCTTGTATCGTGGCTCACTCCATCATGGTTCAATTACCTTGATAGCCTTTTGCAGATTAAACAGCGTGCCTCGCACCACCTCTGTGAGCCGGTTAAACCGGATGAGTTCCTGTCTCAGCACAGTGTTCATGGACTCCTCATAAACCACAGGGTACTTGTTCATCACCATCTCTATGTCAAACGGGGGAGGAAACTTCGACAGGATGTCTGCGGCAAGTTCCTCTATCACCTCAGCTGACGACTTCCCACCGCCTCCTGTCTGACGGGGCAGGGTCAACAAGATGCTGTCAAACAACTGAAGGGATTGAGAAAAAGACAAAGAGATTTATGCTCAGGAACTCAAATGGTGATGAGTTTACGGTGAAACAAACTCTACGCTTTTCAACTACTGATTCTGAGAACTAAAGAAGTAATTCAGATCGTCCTTCTAGAAGATTTGACGCTTCAGGTGGGCTTTATCATTCATGCAAGATTCGAAACTAACATTAAGAACATGACAAAAAAGTTCAGGACCTGAAAGAAAAAACACATTACTAGAAATGATTGCAGGATACCCTAAATGAAACAGGTCCTCAATTGACCCACTGTGAGTGACAGATGTCATCCACTTACCTCCTGAGTTTCCTTCTGGTCCTTAGTAATGTCTGCATTTTCATGGAGACCAAACACTTCTGGATGAGGAATGAGAGGTAAGTCCCGGATGTAGTCCACGTATGATTCGTAATCTCCCTTAGTAGGCGCGTAATATGTACCGCTGTCTGAAAACCTGATAAAAAGAGCCAAACGACTGTCAGAAGGTAAGAAAATGCAAGTATACTGTGGACAGTAATGTCTACCAGGCCGGATGCTTCGTAACACAATTAACCCTTTATAACTTACATTACTATCTACATCCTCCGTACAGTTTGCTTTAAAGGAGCTTCCAGAATTAGTGATCATTTCCTTAATTCTCATGACCTTTACATTAGATTCAAGGGTGATGCTGTAAGTAAAATTAGAAGCCAGTCACTCTTGGGGGACAAAAGCTTAAGCCAACCCAAGGTCATTGGAAAATAGTTATTAAAATTAGTGGCTTTGTAGAAAGGTTCATCGTGTAAATCTTTTTTTTTCTTTTAAGTTTTGCCTTTCAACGTGATAAAAACCCACACAGTGTTAAGCTTGACAAACGCTTTGATACAAGTTTCAAATTCAATCTTGGATAAGCGATAGCCGCCCTGGAACGAGTCAAACGTGGCATGTGAAACACCTGTGACCTGATTTACAATCAAATTCAAAACACAGTTTACATATTAGAGTATATTCATACATAGTCTAGAGAGAGTTATCTTCAGAGCCACATCTTTCTGGACTCACCTGTGATCATCACTTTGTATGATCTCGTCACACACAAAAATAGACAGGAGGCAAACCAACAGTCGACGATCTTTGTCATCAGTCACCCGACCGCCATAATTACACTGGCCAATCAGATAGGTCAGAGCATCCATGGGAACTTCACTATAGTCGTTTAAAAACATCTAAGAGGAGTAAAAAAACCTTTCAATTTAGACACTGAGTCTACCAACTCCGATTAGAGTATGGCAATGGAATTTTTTCGCAAAGGCCACCTTGTGTAGACGGAGTAGAAAGAGAGTCATTATGAGTTGGAGAGGGGGGGTGTGGCGGTGTAAAATGACAACTGTGTTTTTCGCGATAACTAGTAAATTCAAATTCAAGGATACCACGGATTAAATCAAATCGCATCCCTAAAGAGCCATATTCCAGTAATGATCAATGGCGAAATACAATACAAAAATAAACATTCACAAAGAGCCAGGAATCTAAAACTTAAACCCATGAAATGAACTAATTTTGCATTACTTCCCTTTGAACAACTGTGCACCTGCCCCTCCCCTAACCCAACTACAGTCAACTTATGATACGTTAGGATTCATTTTGGGTTAGGGGAGGGGTGGGTGTACAGTCGCTTAGATACCGTAATCGATCTATATTTTCCTAGGTGCTGATTGGACGTTGTGATGACTTTCGTTGTCGGACTTTCGACTCCCTACAAAAAGGCACTTTTAAACCTAGTTGTTTTCATGGGACATTACCTGCAACTGTCTCATGCTGATCCTCAAGTCTGACTCGTTGAACTCGTACGGAATGTTCCACCCTAAAGGACCAAACTTCCTTCTCTCCTGCACCAAGGCGTGGAAGAAACAAAGACCAAACAGCAGCTTCTCCCAAGGTGCTGGCTAAAGTAGAAAGACAACAGGAAAAGAATTTTTAAGTCGTGGTTGTAATGTTAGTAACTATTAAACATTCCACTACAAAAATCAAGCTGAAAGAGACAAGAGGCTAATCTCTTTGTTATTTTGCTTTGAAGGAGAACTGCTGAAAAGGAGGAGCTGGTGAAAAGTCTGCGCAAGTCGTAAAATCTGTTTGGAAAAGCTTGTACAAGGTCTCTTTTTCTGCTGCATCTCCGTGGCCAAATTTTTGGGTGAGTGCTCGAAGATGTGTCCTAGTAGTAGTAAAACGTTTACGGCGAAATTTCTAATTTAGCCCCTTCAACCTGCGTTTTAAACTAAACAGAAACTTTTTCTACTTTTCAATATCTCGAAAATTCTTCCTAAATATACTTTAGTGTTGTCATGGTTTCTCTCATGATCTGATAGACGAGAATTTAAACGACCAGTAAGAAAGGACATGGCTCACCTTATTACAAGCAGTAAAGAACTCTCTGTCTGAAATGGGATCGTTTAAGTAAGAGCGCAGTAAGTTCGAGCGCAGACCTTTCGGAGGTTCGTTGGTCATCTTCACTCCTGAAAAAAATTACACGTAGTCAACAACTACTGCACGTTGACAAAGTATAGGTCACGTTTACTGGTATTTACACTGTTCTCTTCAGGTGTACAGTAGTATCAGTCGGACAAACAGGGACAAAACAGACAGAAACAAAAGTCGTCTCCACAATTCTTCAATAAAAAATCTAGAAATCATTTTGTATCTTTTTCTATACAAGATTAACAATTAACTACTCATCAAACAAGAAGGAACTAAGATAGCTAAGGATGGATGAGTCAAACGAAAATAGCAAAAGACGAACTAAAACCTTAATGCTTAATCCATAAAGATAATCTCACTGCGTTGTTCACCCTTAAATTTCCTTCCCAAGATCCGATTTGCAATTCTGGCGCACGCTACGATGGAGAGGTAAATAACACAACACTAACCGTTCTGCAAAATAGAGACGGGGAAGTCTGGTGATGGGTAACTGGTGAGCCATAACCTGAAATCTTTGTGTGTGTTGTCAGGGACAAGGACGTCTTCACAGATCTTCTCCAGTTTTGACATCCAGCTGGTTGCTAAGTGACAGTTCTGCAGCACCACCCATGTACCTTTCTTTAGAGCCTGTTCTATCATCCGAGCTGCTATAGGACCCTACGAGAAAAACAATTGTACTCAAGTTGAGAGGAAGAGGATTGTTTCAGTGGGAAGCAAATTCAAAATTTACGTGTATGTTGCCACCTCATTTTTACCGTAAGGTATAAAATACATATACATACTTACAAATATTGCTTTATAAACCCTAGAATTACCTGTCCTTGTCCGAGAGATATAGTCTGAATTCTGTTTCCTCCAAAGCCTTTATCACTGGCGAACTTCAGCAGCCCAGCCATTGGATCGGCCCCAGGCGACAACACAAAGATCAGAGGCGCGCAGCAATGGGAATCATTATAACTCAGTTGAAGATTGAATGTTGGCGGTTCAATGTACGAACGACCCATGTTCTCCACAATATAGTCCTGCGAATAACAAAATAAAGTGAGGATGTCTTTCGTTTAGTTAATCTGATTCGTCTTCGGTACCCTGCTTAGCAAGCGCTCGACAAAATTGAAAGAAAGAACCTCAAGAAACAGCAGACTTGCGAAAGAGCTCCTATTCGTCGTTGCGCGTTACAGTCTATCTTAAACGCTCACAGTTTAACCGAATGCTTAGCTTAGCAGCCAAGCAGACCACTTATTTGGCTGTGCTTTGTTAGTTTATTTCGTGTACAATTAATTTAAATAAAGTTTACCCGTTGTACCAAAATTGCCTTTCCGTTTTTTTAGTTGGTTTATAATTATCAATATGAGAAAAGAATAAATAATCCTCTAGGGTGCGTTTCTCTCTCCGAAAACGGAAACTCCTATTCCTTGAAATAATAACAAAGAGAACTTGTAGGGTTCATCCCACCAGGGACACTACTTTTTCCCATCAGTATTAAGCCAACGTGTAAGCAATCAGTTAAAATCATACATGTAATACACACACAATATAATACATACCTGAACTGCAGGAACGATCTTATCAGGCCTGAGACAACGTAGAATCACCAGCCTGAAATAACACAGAGATGCTTGTCACATAAGTTAAAAAAAACCCTGTGTGACCGACACGATTTTATTAATTCGTTCTCTAAGAGAATAATTCGGCACTTACAAATACCCAGAAGTGAACTGGACAACCTGATGTGTCCATTCACAAAGAAAATTCCCTATTTATTAGAGACTTTTCATAGCTTGTTACGTGTCACACTAGAGTGGGGTAGAGACGCACAACGAGCGTGGCGCGACACGTATTCCACCCGTAAAAAGCCTACAAAAAACTTACTTCGCTTGAGAAATTAAAATGTAATGGGACAAAACTCGCCTGTCTAGACCCGACACCGCATCCCAAGGATCGGGCATTTTTTCTGAATGTGGAGTTGCCGAGTCGTAGAATGCTTTCCAACCTGGATCTGGGAAACCTACGAACGAAAATCAAAACACGTAGAGTTGGCCACGTAAAATACTTCTTTGTTGCTGCAAATTCTGTAAAACTTTAGTTGCAAGTTAGACTTTTAGACTACTGATTAGAAGCCTAGTTAAATCCTGCTAAATTCCTTACAGGTATATAAGCTATTAATTTTTCAATTTTTCGCAGGGAAAATCAAGAACCATCAACATTCCTGCTTGTTCGACATTATGCACGTTTCCCCAAACCTTATACAGGGTAATGCGGCAGCTTTTGTGATAAAACTCCAATCACTTACTGTCTTTGAGTCCATTTAGGTTGGGTAGATCGGAAGCCCTCACGATCTCGGACCAAGCTTTCTCGCTTAACCACTCTGAGCACGGGTTTGGAAATGGGTTTTCCAAAGCAACACCTCCAGTAAGTAGAAACCTCCAAACTTGATCATCAACTTTACCCCTTAAAAATAAAGATGAAAACAGTCAGCTCTGCAGACAACGCCTGCACACGATACTGACTCACAAGGCAGCTGGTGCTTATTCCAGTTTCATCACCTCGAAGCGGTCACGAGCATAGCTACGTTTCCCAGGTGATTTGCTCCTTAACGGCATATAATTCCCTGCCATTCCTCCACGTTTGTTTGACAATTTACTGCTACCCATTTATACTCCTGGGTGGTGAGGAGCATTGTGAAAGTTGAGTGTCTTGCCCGAGAGCAAAACATGATAATAACGCTCGGGATTGATTCTGGACGTTTCGGTCGGAAGTCGAGCGTGCTTACCTGTATGGTACCGGATCCCCCCCCTCTCCAGAGGTTAAGCAGACACCCGGGAGTTTAGATTCGACAAAGCTTTTATCATTAAGCGATCATTACCAATACTGTAGCCTCTCATGACTAACAAAGACACGCACTCTATTTTAAATTTGTTTTACTCGTGAAAAAATACACTAACTTACCTTCCCTTCAAGATGCCGATAGTAAGAGTAATTGAAAACAACAGCTTGTCTTTCTCAAACAATGAGCGACACACGTTAGAGTAAACGCTTTGCGTGAAGTGATCGTTCAAATTTCCAATTCTTTCTTCCAAGTCAGCTGAAGGCCTGCTGTTGCTAATGGACTGTTACAGAACGAAATTCAAAGACAAAAATCAAAGAGAAACTCAACGAAACGGAGTAACAGTCGAACAACCGACAAATCAAGGTACACTTTACACCACTATTTGGCTATAAAGAAAAGTGAAATGCATACTCCATACCTGAAGGTACAGGTTAATAAACCAGGCGAGTGAATACTGGTACATAGGCTCAATATTGGCCAGGTCCGAGATACAGAAGAACAATATGGACGAGTGTACTGCGACAGGCTTGTAGCCATTACGTGTCTCGTCTATTTCTTTCTCCGTTGCCGTGGCGATTTCCTAAAAATTAATTTGGATCAAGTGAAATAGTTAATGCCTTACGGTTCATACTTGAACTTAACCTAAATTTATCCAAAAGCGCTGCTCTTACGTCGAAAAACGCAGAATGGAAAATATCAAGCAAAGCGTCCTGAAGACAGAGTGTTGACATTCACTGTTAGACATCAAAACTTTAAAGCAATGTTTGGACCTCGTTTTTTTTTAAAGCGATAGAAGAGGGACTGCAGCCAAAGCAGTATCAACGAGGTTGCATTTAGTATAGTATTATATGAATTGATTTGGCAATGTTATGTCAGACAATCTTTCGTAATCTGAAAAAATTAAATCAAACTGAGAAAGATGAAAATAGTCATTCAACAACAAATCTGGGAAACTATGAACGTGTGACTGGCTAGCCTGCACTAACATTTGCACACTGCATGTAAGTATATGTCTCCTCTAAAATTCAGTGTTAGTGGGGCGTCATTGTGTGCGGTGTATGGACTGAATTTTCTAACCTGCTTGGCAGAGATTTCTTCGGAGAGAACTTTAGACGATGAAAGGATCTTGATTGCAGTTTCATCCTCCAGGATATTTCCCTTTGTAAGAAAAAAAAACAAGCACAAATGAAAACTAATAATCGATACATAAAATGAAAGGGAACTATTTTGAGAAACGTTTCGCGGGGGTAAGACTTCAACTGACCTCTATGGCAGCCAGGTTCAAATAATCTTGAACCTAGTTAAGCTCTAGCTGCAAACCCTTAAGTTTTCCTTTCAAAAAAATGAATAAACTGATGTGAATGAAGTCATACCGTTTGTTTTTGGGTAATGTTCAAAGAATACATCGCCTTTTTAAAGTAAATCATATCACTAAAAGAATAAAAAAGTTTACCTCAGACGACGACAAGACCTCTAAAATCTTATCTTCAATTTCTTTGAGCTAAAAAATAAACAAACAACTGAATGGATAAATACATGTATACGAATTAAATAAATAGACAAGAAGTCAAACAAATCCTCCTCTAAATCTTCTCAACAAGCCTCATTTGTAGTCAAAGAGTTTTCTTCGTAGAGCGTTCATATCAAGGGGCTGGGAAGGGCGGTACTGTACTGGTGTTTACAGGTTTCTGGAAGAATGTCATGTTGTTTTACTGTCATAAAAATCCCTAGGGTAGCTATTATCTCGGGACCTTAGCATACCAATTCTCTCCAATACACTCTTCATAACGCACCTGTTTTTTATTTGCAGCACTTTCCAAAATAAGCTGATTCTTCTTTTCCTCAAGCTCAGGTTTCTCTTTAGCGGCGACAATCCCCAGCAATTGATCCTCCAGACCCAAGGGAGTGATCATGAAGTTCACTAGTGTCACCTTGACGGAGATTTCCGGCAGGTAATGTGGATTTCGCAGGCGCGTGGTGATGTAAAATCGGAAGTCACGTGAGTACTCAATGCTGTTTTCGCCGAGTTTGAGATACTAAGCAAGATAAAACGACAAATAAAGATACTGACTGTAACAAGACTTCTAGTTCTTACTAATTAAGGCACAACCAGTCATCACTTCACAGAAAACAGAATGGCTGATCATTCTCAGATGACAATTTGGTTTTATCAACATTCGATCTGACGAACCGCTAACGCTCGAAACGTCAGCTTCAGAAACTCTTTACAGCGGCCAATTTACATTATCAACTCAGTAGATAAAACCAAATCATCTTTTCATATCCTCTACCGAAGCAGCACCACCTTAAGTTTTATCTAACCCTTAAAACTTTTCGGGTCATAAGGAACAACATACCTCTACACCGCCTTGTTTAAATGTCTGTTTTAGGAGCAGTGGCTCAAGTATAGGATCCAATTCCTCTCCAACATTTTCCATCAACACTGGCGTACCAAACTAAATACACCGAACAACACATTGAGAAAACATTCATTATACTTTGAGAGTTTCGACTACTTCGAGGGTTTGGCTCTTCTCCTGGGTGTCTTTTTGCTTGAAACTGGGGCCATCTACCTTAGGAAATGGTGATCATAAATCCCTTCATTGTTATTTTTATTGGTCCAAGGAAAAGTTTTACAAGTCGACTCAAAAGTCCATGCTTAACTGATTACGCTGTAGCTACAGACTAAACAAACAACAAAACAAAAGGAGTAGTTTTCACTAATTCGGAGGAAAGGAAAGTCTACCAGAGAAAAACGTGTAGCTCAGATCACGATTGAGGGCCTTATTCAGCATGCACCGTACGTAAACAACAACTAATCACTTCAAGTTGCAACTCTTACTTGACCCTAAACTCTCACACTCACTCCGCTACTCTTATTCAGCGCTAACCACCTTTAAAAAACTTTCCTTATCATAAAGTTTATATTTTGGCCTTGATTGTTTTCCCTTGTCAACGGAATCCCTCACGACACAAACAAAACTTATTCTTTTTTTTTTAATTTTTTTTACTCTTCTCTTACCGTAATACTGTTTTCCAGGGTACGGATATAGTTTGAGTCAGAAAGCTTGATAACGGACAGTTTGTTTTCTTTCTCCATGTTCTTGATCCATTTGTTGGCTTGACCTGAATATAATATGATAAAACACAGATAGATCTAGCTACGAATTCTCTCTACAAAAATAATGCAAGCTGTGTAGAAAACCGTGCAAAGAATTGAGTTGTTGATTTTGAACTTCAAACGTACCTTGAGGGTCTATCATAAGCGGCCACCTTCGTGCGTTGTCCACAACAATACCATTGTCAACTGAGAACGAATCCACAGGAAGACCAGCAATGTTCCATGCGCGAATCTTAACCGGGCTACCAAGAGTCGCGTTCAGAGAGAACGATTCCGAACAAGGGATCTTTTTGACATTGCATTGTTCTACCCAACTGGATATACAGTCCTAAGAACAGAGAAAGAAAACAAAAGTAAGATACACTGTTTTTAAGGAGTCGCTCCAACTCAGTTGAAAACTCATGTTCAAAAAACGCAAGCAAAAGTTAAGTTAACATATTTTCGAATGAGCCGAAACGCAACTTTCTAAACAAACCGTGGACATGGCGACACTTTCACTGGGCACCTTTGTGTGGCTAAGAAGTGCACGATGTAACTCACAATTTAAGCTTAATATCAACCTTAGGGATGCAATATTGTGATAAGATGATGTAAAAAAAATAATTACACAATTTTTGTGAACTGTTTTCTTTTTTTAACATCGCTTTATGCAACATGTTTTAACTTACGTTTCTAAAGTCCACAGTGAAAGGGCCCAAATACGCTACCACCCCAGAGGACAGAAGCACATCACCGGTGATCCTGTCATATCTCTCTCCCAGCACCCGCGCCGCTTCAGTCCAGCGGTCTTTCTCGCCACCCAGTCCTCCTATCAGTTTTTCGGCTCGGTCCAGCTTTTGCTCGCAGATCAGAATGTTGGCCTCTAATTCTTTCTTCTTGTTGGTCATTGCGTCAAATTCGTCATTCAGTGCTTGAAGTTTATCGACAACCTTCGCAAGAAAAGAAGGTCCAAAAGGTTATAAATGAATAAAGGTGAACGATTATCAGACAGTGCTTCCAAGAGCCAATAGGAACAATGCAAATTAATAGAGCTCTCACTATAAATTGCTCTATGGAGTAATTTGATCTAAAAAACGTACATAGCGTCATGTTATGTTTTCAAAAAATAGAGTTACCAGTTGATTATTCCTGCAATGATTACAATTACATTTTCGGGCCCAAATCCCACGAGTTGCACGGAGGTGAAATGCAAAGGACATTCGGAGTTTAAGTGGACAATCAGAGCGAACCTTCAAACCTATCCACTCTTTCAGTATATACTAAAAGAAGATAGCGCAAGTGTATGAGGATGTAGATGTATCTGTTATTAAGAACTTGGCACTAACTAACCTCTTTCAGTTGAGCTCGCTTGGCGTTTAATTTCTCCATTTGCACGGAAAGTTCGGCCTCTGCTTCAGCAAGCTTTATCTTCTTGGGGGCGACAACCTGAACGAAAAGAAAAAGAACCTTTCGTGTCATGGAAGTCAATAGAAGTAAGAACAGAGTCTGTTACTACGGTACACATCGTCCACTCCATAAAGAATAGCAAAATTATGGTCACAAAGTAAAACTACTCTTTATATATGGTACTTCGTAACATAACATGGGCGCGCTTCCCAGATTATTACCCTCTGTTATGTAAATTCGTACTCTCCCTTGGTGAATTGTTAAAACTGAAGACGCACAGCACCAACGAAGCATCCCGTTGTTATAATGGCTTAAGGGAAACATAATACAAGCGTACCTTCGCCACCCTTTCGTACACTTCCATAGCGCGCACCCATCTACATAGTCCTTCGCAGGCTGAGGAGACTGAACGAATGTTATTGGGGTCAAAATCAGGATTGGTTACATATCTGGAAAAAAAATGAAAGAAAAAAGACATGCTGGAGGGAATGCGACATAAATGTAAAGCAATTTCGGTTCTACCCAATAGAATTTTATGAGCATATGAAACCAAAAAAGTTTCATTATCAAGTAAGATGCTTGAAAACTAAATTTTGTTATGAAGCGATTTCGCCAATATATGATAACAAGATCTGCCACAATGTAATTTAGAGCTTGAAGTAATTACCTTAAATACCATATAAAAACTAGATATTATTTAGAGAAGGGAAATGCTTCCTCACCAACGAAGTCAATTTAAAGGAAGCAAACCTCAAAACAAACAACTTACTTCTCTCTGATCTTTTTAATAATGGCGGCTGGAATGTTGTCCTTGTCATAAACTTTCAAAGACTCCAAGAATTTCATGTCTCCCAGCATCTTCTGAGAAGGACCCCAGTAGTCTTCCACCATTCGTCCCGAGCCCGAGGGATCAGGCTTTCTTTCGGGTTTGAGGCCTTTCATGATACATACAGCTTCCATGACCAGCTTCACTGCAGCAGGTGGGTTCTAAAAAAATGTAGGCACGCAATGCGTTAGTGCAAGGCAAGGGGTGTCAAAGGAAAATTCAACATACAATTAAGCTAAATCAGGTTTTGGGTAAGTTTTCAATTTCACTTGATATTGCTGCGTTTTAACCAATTTCACTGTTACAACGTATTCCAGTTTCTGCCTTCAACTAAGATAGTATTGATTGATTGATTGATTGATTGATTGATTGATTGATTGATTGATTGATTGATTGATTGATTGGTAACTTTATTTATACACGGAAAAAAAATTAAGTTTTTTTTTAACATAATTTAAAGTAAAACATCAAATTCTGCCCAGCTGATCTAACCAATCAAATAAGATAAAATCAGTCATGTTCTAAAGCTGCTTTTTAAGGATGCCTCAAAAGACAACAGTCACTCCAAGCGCTGTTAGAAGCAGAGACAATCATTTATTTCTAATCCTGAAAAATCGCTAACCACCTTTACAACAAGCGGCCCGTGGTAGCGAGCAGCAGAAATCGCAGGTAACGCAAATTTTCCTTACTTTCAATTTTGACTGGTTAAAAAGCATAGTCTCCGTTTCAAAGATAGATGAAGGACTGCATTTACTGCAAACGCAATCAGCAGTGGTAGTATTTTCACGGAGTAAAAAAAAAAACCATTACCTTCATTGTTTTAACCATACTAATGTCACTTGGTTTAAGTGTGTTCAGGGCCTGCATGGCGGCCTCTAGCGCCGGCATGGCTTCTGCCAAGTCACTCTCGCATTCCTCCTTTATTCCTTTGGCTACAGCTGCTGCTTCACTTGCTACCGCCTCATCGGCTGCCACAACCTAACAGTACAGAGTGAATCAATAAGGAAATGCCATACTAACAACACTTTTATCGACAAACCTAAGTTGGTGCTCTGGATGAAAGAATTTCAAAGACACACGACTACGAGGTATCCAACCTTATAACGTAAAACATTATGAAGTTTGCCAAAAAGCTTAAACCTGTTTCAGTTTTTTTTGTGTGCATTTTAAGTTTCAGGAAGCCAATAAATTTCTTCTTTAACTACAGCTACAACAACAAGCACAATGTCTACACATAAACACTCGAAGTTATTTGACCCGAACTATTCAACCCTTTAACTCCCACGATCTGATTGTCAATTCTCCTCTGTAGCTGCTAGGCAATTTTTTGTAAATTAGTTGGGGAAATTTGGTGTTCGATCTAACTGATACGTTTGAGTATTCTCACTACCTGTTTGCTGGATAATGCATGGATATTATAGAGAGAAGTTACATCTTAATCACTTCTAGGAATATGAGGGTTAATTGGTAACAAGTTCACAACTCACATCGAAAAACAAAATTAAAAAAAAACCATTTACACAATAAATGATAAAAAAACAACAACAAAAAGGAAAGAAATATTATTCCCTGAAAGTAAGTACGATAGAAATATATGGCAATTAAGAAAAATCTCAGTGAGACTTTCTCGAAAATCAGATCGTTTGAAAGAAACCCATCGCGGCCTCACCTCTTTCTTAGCTTCAACTTCAACAGTGTCCTGTTCAATTTTTATCATCAGCTTTTCCGTCTCCGCCGAAGTCTTGATTAGCTCTGGTTGCAGATCACTGAGCTCCTGTTGCATGACAGATACTTGGGAGGAAGCGAAGTCCAACTTCTCCAGACCTGTGACGTAACGCTGTTTGAGTGTCATTATTTCTTGTCTTTTGATGTCCAAGAGTTTCTTGAACGTCATGATGAGTTCAAGATATGACGTTGGCGTGACGTAATTTCGGCGTCTAAGAGAATCGTAAAAGCTGTGGAAAGACGAAAGATGATAAGCTGTAGATGGATCCTTTTGCAGTTGAGTGTGGAAAGTAATCCGAGATTGCATTGGTTTTGCTTCACTTCGCTCTGTGATTGGTTTAAAAAACTCGCGCCACTCCCTTAACCAATAAGCTGCAAAACTAAAACCAATCACGACTTGGTCGCCCGCGTTTCCCTAGACTATAGACAGTTTGGTTTGTTTTATTTTGAGTTCACATAGGCTGAAACTCAACCGAAAAGCGCTCTAAAACCCTTATTATTACCTATCATAAATTATTTGTACTCACCTGTCTGATAATTCTCTGACACTCTCATGGAAATACTTGCACATGTACACACATTCCTTACGAACTTCGTGAGCCATGTCCACTTCTTCAAGAAATTTGTTGGCCACCATCTCCAGTGCGTCTTCCGGCCACGCCTGGGACACAAAGACATCATTTGTTACAGGAATCTACACACTTCGATCGTTCACTCTGTCAACTAATGACGGATATGGCGCGCATAAAAATTTGTGTTCGATAATCATGTGAACCTGGTTACAGCGACAATGAACCCTGCGAGATCCTTGCTAAAGTTAAAATATAGTTTAAGTTAATTCTGGTAAACGTCGCTGTGTTTTCAGCTCAGCTAAGTTTTGGATCTTTCCAAGAAAGGCATTAGCAAACTGTGAAGTAGCCTTTTCCTACCGTTCAGTTGATAAACAACGTTTAAATAATATCGGCAAAGGGACGCGAAATATTCAAAAGAAAAAAGCGGGAAAGCGAATAAAGCAAAGCGGAAATAATAATAATACTACTGAATAAGAAGACTTGATTTAAAGACGGTAACACTAGACATTCACGAACTAATAAACCTATGGCCCTCAAATTCGAATAAACTGGAAAATAAACAGTGCTAGTTAACATAAATGCAATGTTTTAAAAACTTCAAAAGCAGGAGATAAACCACTTGGCTAAATACAAAGCACAGCCAAAGAAGTGAACTCGTATTTGGAGTGCAATTTCCGGCGTTGGGTCTCGTGGTGAAACCGCATGACGGTGTACGAAGCACACTAGATAGATATTTTGGATTTTCATAATTTTCCTACGTGTAGGTAAGAAATAGTAAGGAGATAATATCACTTATTTGAAATGTTGGTGCCAGTATTACGGAGTATTCATTCCTTTAGTTGTTTGTGCTCTGACGAACCCTTGATGCGTCTATTCACTGAAGGTTTCTGATGTTTTTACCTGGAACCAGTCGATGGTGCAGCAGTTGATGAGCGAAGGAAACATTCGCATTCGGCTTCTGAAAGCATCGCCAATAGGACTCATAGCCAACACCACATGAAGGTTTGCACGAACTCGCTCGATAAAGAAGTTGTACATCGCCAGCGGGGTGGCGTCGATTTTACGGCCCTGCAAGAAAAAAAAAAGCATCGTATGAGTTCAAAACATTTGTAAATGAGGCGATTCTTACTTTTAAACGGTTGTTCGCTGTATTGTAAGGAAAACTCGTTTGCTTCCGAGGCGCGTTGAAACAAATCATTGAAAGAAAATTGTTCAAGCAGTTTCTTTGTATTCAAAGCTTTGTTCTTTCTTGTCTCTCTTCTTCTTTGCAAAACACTGTTAAAATGAAGAATGCGGTTTACAGACTAGCTCTGTAATTTCAATAAGGCGGTCGCCAACGTAGCGCTGATTTCCTCTGGAGACAAGTTAGCTCAGACGTGAAAAAGTTAGCTTTTGATCGGTTGTGATTTTAACCAGCCTTGTTCCTAGAGAAGAAAAACGGATTTAACTGACGTCACAATCATCAAATGCGATGACGTCTGCACACGTCAACTCGAGTGCAGATTTCATTGCGCGCGCATGCGTTTCACTTGTGGTTTTTTGTGCGTTTTTTCACAGACCTCGTATTCATGATTTACAAAGGTTTTGATTTAGCAGAAAATCAAACATAAATTTTACTTTGGATGTCATGAAAGACCATTTCCTCTACCGGCTACCATATGTAGGATCATTTACTAACAATAATTAAATTATTCACGCTTTAATTAGTAAATATCTTGACTGTTTAAGGCAATAAGCTATAACTGGGGCCTTTTTGGCTTCATATCTTACTGGTCAAGGGTTTTTTCTTAGGTATCAAGGAAAAAGACTGTGTGGACTTGGACTAAATGTCCCTCATAAATGATCTCTGGGGCTCTTTTGCGTTTATATTAAAGCTCTAGTTCACTGCTTTGTTTTTCCTTACCTCTACTCTGGCCACAGTTTGCATCTTTTCAATAACATCCGCCTTCTCATCTGCGGGAAAGATGTTTGGAACATCACCAGTATTCAGAATCATGTTGATGTCCTCCACAAATGACTCTTCCTTGATTTGATTGTCACTGAACAGGAACACTGTTTGCTTTCCGTCCACTCCGGCTTTGATCAGCATCTGCAAGAAAGTAGAAAGTTATTCAATTGTCAAAAACAAGTGTCATTCAATCGATTCCCTCTACGGAAAACGAAAAACAAAGAGACTACTACTGAAGGATGACACTGTTGGACTGAAGAGATTATACTAATTTGGAAGCTCCAGGTTGAAACTTCTTCACAGTGGTAAGAATTGTTGTAAAGTGAATAATGCTTGAGTAACACCGAAAAATCATTTCTGCTACCTTTTTGACGTCCTCTCTCCATTCATTCTTGGTGTAGTTTCTAGTGATCTCAATTTGGAAAAGATCATAGTCCGCCATGAATGTAGCCAAACGGGTTGCGCTTTGACGACCACTACCTCCGATACCTGAAAAACAATACTTACAAGATTACTAAAAATACATGACAATAAAGCACTTTCTGCTTTCTTTACGAATTATCAAGCGAGAGAGAACGTGCCTCTTTATATTGGTTTTCGTTACTTTTCCGTTGTTTTCCAAGATTTCCTATTTCTTGGTTATGCTGCTCTCTGCTTAAGCGATTGGTCATTAGGAACTGCGCTTTGGTTGATTGGTACAATAACTACTCTCATACTAACAGCATTGCAATGAGTTTGCTTCAATTCGCCACGTAACTGGCCTTGAAAACGCGCACCACAGCACCTTCCCAAACGATCAGACAAAAAAACTATCACCAATCCCGCGCCGAGATATTTTAGAATTATCCGCGCGTCTGGCAGTTTGTTTGTTTTCGCGTAGAACTTTTTTTTCATGTTTTCTACCCTTGTACAGATATGCCATCGTAATTACATAGGTTTACTTTTATAACATTCAATCGAAAAAAATATCGGTTTCACGGAAATCTGCGTCACAACAGTCCACGTGCTTACCAACAAGAAGAGCGTGTCCATTGTCTTGTTTCAACACGCGAGCTACTCGCGAGATGTGTTCAATGGCGAACTTGAACATAACAAGAGACATGGGCGTCTTGCTCATCTGATTAAACTCATCTAGATACCTGAAATCACACGAGAAGCGCGCGTCACGGAGGCTCTAGAGAAACAGACCTTTAAAAAGTATAACACGACTACAAACTGAAACATGAGCTTACGAAGGCTTCTTCACATAATCCATGATGATCAAAACCGATTCTTGGCAACAAAGCAACAATGTGAGTAATAGATGTTCACATACCCCTCCATCTGTTGGGTCAACAGTGTTATATCAGTAACTTCATCATAGATTCGTTCAGCGCTATCTGGGACCATGTAGTCACCAAAAAATAAACTCCTGAAAAACACCAACAACATAACAATCAACATATGACACCTTGTGGCATCAGTGTAAATTTCGCGAGAGTTTCATTTTAAAGGGGCTTTTTTGCGCATCAGCGAGAGTTTTTTCTTCAGGGGAGAGAAGATACTTTCTACGGCCCAGGATCAAGATCATTTCTGCTAAAGCAATGCAGGATTGCACTAGTTTGACCTCACTTTACATTGCCAAAACCTGTCACGACTTGGTTACCAGCGTTTTTCCGCGCTTCAAGCAGCTTGCCGTTTTCTACTTCGAGTTCTCATTCGTTTCCTGTGAGATCTATTTTATTCTGAGTGGTTGCTGTGATCATCTTGGTTTTGTGTCCACAAAACGTTCTAAAAAGACAAAAAAATCACCTGATATGATCATCCTTGAGTTTCTGCCCTGTTGGTACAATGTGGTCCAGTAAGCCATCCATATCTTTCTTAAACTGTTGTTTAGTTGTCTCTTTCATCATCTCGAAGAACATCACTCGATCGTTGTTGTCGATTAGCCGATCGTAAAACACTCGGTACACTTCGTGGATCCACAGTCGAATCAACTTGTCTCCCTCTTGGAGGTGCGTGGAGGGAACAAGGAGCACTCCAAACACGACACGCGCGAAGTCACGCAGATTAAAGACGTAGTGTGACTTGCTGGGGGTGGGAAGGAATTTCTCCACGACAGACTTGTACACGTGCATTGTTGCTTGAACAAGGATCTGTAAGAATCCCAAAGTATGTTATTTCAAAAATATTAATCAATATTTTAACAACTCGTAAAGCCATTAAACTACCCTTTGACACTTCATTTTCATTCTCGCGCTGTTTGGATCGAGTTTGAATCGAGTTGTTTTGTTTTTGTTCTCGTCCTTGCTCCAGAGGTTTTCTCCAGGCTCTCTGCTTTCTAAGGCTCGTTTATTAACTGCTATTCGGGAAACAAGCCCGCGCTTCTTCCCGAAGAGGAAGTGGATCGAAGAACGAACTCGAGAAATCGGTGGCAATCAAACCTACGCGTTTCCTCACTCCAAAAGCTCAACACCCCTATGAACAATTTTACCGAATAAAAGCAGCCGCAGTCCTACCTCGTGAATCCAGCACTACCAAAATCCAAATCTACTCATTTCATTTCAGAATTTTCATCAAAGTGCATGTACGGATACGCACCCCATGGTAACATCGGCCTTACCTTTCCCAGTCTTCCAAAGGAAGAGTCAAATCCTTTGGCAAAGTGCCAGTCCACAATGGAGGTGAATATTTTGGTCATGGTGTTATCATCAAATGAGTCAATGGATATGATATTCATATGGCGAGTAAACCGATCAGAGATGTCATTACGGCCGCCACCTGGGGGTCCCATGGCTGACACGAACAGCTGAAATAAAGAAATAGATGAAATGACGATGAAGGTAGATGAAATGTCGGACAAAAAACTTTTTCAAAAGTACTTAACATGAGAAAATCTTATTTCCCACAAACTCTTTCCATAAAAATTATTGTTTATTTTGCCAATAACATTGTTTGTAAACTACAAAGACTACCCACCATATCCATGAGTTCCAATTTGGATGTATCCTTGCGGTCATACCAGTGAGAATGATCCAACCACTGTAGGACAAATGAACACAATTAATTTGAAAACAAAATAAAAGCATAAAACGTATGACAAAAAATTACCATAGTTTGCAGGTGTTCTGGTTTCAAAATGTGGTGTAAAAGCAAGACTTTCAGAATTTTTAACAAAGTCAAAGACAGGCCTGATAAGTCTTCGCATGTCACGAACTTCTGCAGGTCTACGCTCGAAACCATAGCAACACAGAAAACTGAGGGAAGTGCATATCGTTTTAAATGAAATATGACGGGGATAACTGCTCAGGTTATGACTTAACCGCAGAGGTTAAGGTTAGAAAACTCCCGACAAACAACGCTGCAACAGGAGGAAATAGACGTTTAGAGCAACAAAGTTTTATTTGAGGACACGTACCGGTGTTCAGGTGGAAAATGATGTCGTTCTATGGCCAAGCAAAAATGTATTTTGTGAAATTTACCCTAAAGTAGCCTCGTTACTTGTGTTTAGCGCTTTTCAGCAAGACTTGCCTGCTTAACTTTGCTACATAACCCTTGTGGTGAATAGAAGACATCACCGCTTTCTTATAATTTTTTTCCCTTCATTACCGTCATTTTAATTGGGTTAACTATTACCATGGATTCAAAAGCCAGCTTCTGACATGCGCGATTTTCCAACTGTTTCGCAACCTCACCTGTCTCAACAACTCAATAGGGGGCTGGGCACCATACTTCTCCTTAGACGGCATGTTGAGATCATCGACAAACACAACACATTTCTTACCGGGAGGAGGACCGTACACTCCCTTACGACGCCTGCAATAGATCAACATGGCCAGAAGTTTACAATTAGATTGTCAAATGACACTATCATTGCTGTTTTGCTTTCGATTTGAAAATTTGATTCAAGAAATACGCTTATAATCACTTAATACTACGAAAAAAGGGTTAAAGGATATAAAAAAATACGAGAAATTAGGTGAAGTTAACCATAGTGATAAACACTGATATTCTCCTAAGAAGTATATGAACGTTCGTGGCCAAGTTAGAGAATTTTCAAGTTGATCAGTCTCACCTGTCCAGCTTGGCCATAATGATGTCTTGGGACTGGCCTGCGCTGGTTCGCGCGGAGAAATTTATGTTGATCGGAAGATACCTGAAATATATGCAATAATTCGTCATAAATTTATCACAGCTTTATCCTTATTGAATTCAGACTTCGTCTTGACTTTCAAAATGTGAAACGGCTGGCCAACTCAATTGTGTCTTTGACGAAAATCTTGCATCAGTCAAACTAATTAAACGATTGAAATTAAATGTAAAAGCTGTCTTTTGCTTACAAACGTGTAATCTTCAAAAGGTCTCCAAGCCAGTGTTATATATTTATGTATTCTATTAATCATTTATTATGTCTTTACAATAACCAGAAGGGGTGTAAATGGATATCGTTCTTAATTCACCTCTCAAATTCTTCAATCAATACTTCTTTCATATACAAAAATAACCAACACAATCGTGGACAGCTTACTTTTCTTTCGGCATCCTCACGATGTAGTTGTTAGTAATGGCGGACTTTCCTGTTCCCGTCGGACCAATAAACAGCAATGGTTTCCCATGAGTGAGGAAAGCTTCCAAGAAAAACATCTGCCGAGCAGTTTCATCGGTAGGAATCATCAGCTCGCTGACCTGTCAATCCGACAAAGTGTTAAAATCCTTGTTTTAAACTTTTTAAAATCCTGGTGCTTTTCTATCCTAGCTATTCCAAAGTCTAACTCCCATGGGACAAATTTTCATTTGAGTGAAAATTCAAGTTGAAAATGTTT